AAAAAAAAAAAAAAAAAAAAAAAATTAATGAATTTAAGTTTAAATACCCTCCCTGCTTCCCATCTTGGACAGCACAGGATGGCAGGAGCATGAAGGAGCCGGAGCGCGGGGCCAGAGGGAGCGGGGTGGGCCAAGGACAGGAGGTGACGTCCCCGTTGTCACAGGTACTGCCCCGAGTGTCGGAATGACGCCAGCGAGGTGGTGCTGGCGGGGGAGAAGCTGAAAGAGAGTAAGAAGAAGGCGAAGATGGCGTCGGCCACATCGTCCTCACAGCGGGACTGGGGCAAGGTGAGGGGGGCCTCCGCGCCTGCGCCCCCGGCCGCCTGCCCCCCCGTAAGCGCTGACACCATCCTCTCTGTTTCTGGAATGGACAGGGCATGGCGTGCGTGGGGCGCACCAAGGAGTGCACCATCGTCCCGTCCAACCACTACGGACCCATCCCCGGGATCCCCGTGGGCACCATGTGGAGGTTCCGAGTCCAGGTACCTGCAAACGTCCAGGAGCTCCTCCAGAAGCCCCTCCACCTGGGCGAGGGCCACCCCTCGAGCAGGTGGCAGGGCTGGAATTCACACCAGCTCCTTTTCGTGTAGGGCGAGCGCGTTCGATGAAGTCAGGCCGCCGGCTTGAAGGCGGCAGGGAGGAGGTGGGTTGGGGTTTTCTGTAGCAGCCAGTCCGGAAGGTGCCATTTATCTCTCGGCGGTTTCCGCAGGTCAGCGAGTCGGGGGTCCATCGGCCTCACGTGGCGGGCATCCACGGCCGGAGCAACGACGGGGCGTACTCCCTGGTCCTGGCTGGGGGCTACGAGGACGACGTGGTGAGTGCGGGGCTTGTCTGATTTATTTTTTAATTGTGGTAAATACACGAAATATACAGTTTACTATCTTCACCGTTTTAAGTGCACAGCTCAGCGACATTAAGCGCATTCACGTTGTTGTGCCACCGTCCTCACCATCCGTTTCCAGAACTTTCTCATCTTCCCAAACTGAGACTCTGTCCCCATGAAGCACTGACTCCCCTCCCCTCCCCCAGCCCCTGGCCCCACCATCCACTTTCTGTCTCTGTGGATGTGACTCCTCTAGGGGCCTCCTGTGAGGGAATCACACAGTGTCTGTCCTTCTGTGTCTGGCTCATGTCACTGAGCGTCATGTCCTCCAGGTCCATCCACACTGGAGCAGGTGTCAGGATGTCCTTGCTTTTCAAGGCTGAGTAATATTCCAGTGTGTGGATGGACACGTTTTTCCACTCATCCATCCGTGGACATTTGGTTTGTTTCCGTGTTTTAGCCGTTAGGAATCACGTGTGCAAATATCTCTTCAAAATCCTGTTTTCAATTCTTTTGGGTCTATACCGAGAAGTAGGGTTGCTGGATCTATGGTAGTTCTTTTGAAGTTTTTGAGGAACCTCCCTGTTTCCCACAGCGGCTGCACCATTCTAATTCCCACCCACCGTGCACAGGGCTCCAATTTCTCCCCCGCCTCGCCATCGCTTGTTACCGTCTGTTTCTTTGACAGCTGACATGCTAGCGGGTGTGTGTGGGTTTGTTTTCAGTGGGGTCTCTCTCCCCTGCGTGGAGGGTTCAGCCTGGCCTTCTTCTCTGTTTCAGGACAACGGGAATTCTTTCACCTACACAGGTAGTGGTGGTCGAGATCTTTCTGGCAACAAGCGGACTGCGGAACAGTCTTGTGATCAGAAACTCACCAACACCAACAGGTTCGCAGAAACTGGTTTTCTTGTTTCTTTACCAGCATGCTTGTGGCTCGTCCTCTGGTGGTTACCCAGTGGGGAGGGGGGTCCTTTCTCTGTCTGCTAAAGACTTGTGAGTCATTCGGATGCATTAAGCAAACTTTCTCCCTGAAAGCCCAGGTAATAAATGTTTTCGGCTTTGCGGGCCGCATAGTCTCTGTTGCAGCCTTTTAACTCTGCCGTCATAGCACGGAGGCAGCCACAGAGTGTATGTAAATGAATGAGCATGGCTGTGTGCTAATAAAACTTTATTTGTAAAACCAAGCGGTGGGCCGGAGTTTGCTGACCCCCGATTGCAGGACGGACAAGGGCTTTAAGCATAAAAAGCATCATAAAGCCCAAAGGAAAAGACAGAGATTTGATGACCTACGTATTATAAATTGTGTCAATAAAACCTGTAAGTAAAATGAGAAGCAGATGGCTGTTTGGGGGAAAAGTCTGCAACAAACATGACACATCATGGTTATGTCCTTATATGTAAAGAGCGGTGGCAAATCAATAAAAACTAATAGAAGCAAAGAACTTGCAAATCACTCGCAAAAGAAAAGGAAATCTCCAAACACCATGAAAAATTGTTTAGTTTTAGTAATCAAAGAAATACAAATTGAAACACTGGTGAGATACTATTCATTTCCCCTGTAAAATTGGCCAAAAATTCTAAAATATGTAGAAATGCCGAGTCGTGGACTAGTGTTCCACTGTTGGCAGAAATACAAATTGGTACCATCTTTCTGGAAAGCTCTTTGCCTGTGTGTATGAAGAGCATTGAAATGTTCTTACTCGTGACCTTACGATTCTGCTTTGAAAGTGTGTTTATGAGAGATAGGGAGGTGAAAATTCCAGGTGTCGTAATATTTATCATACTGTTATCTAAAACAGGAAAATATCAGGAACTAAATATCTATTTTATAAAGAGGGAGGGTTCATCGTACGTTTATTTGTCTAGTGGCATAGGTTAATTTAAGTAGCTATTAAAAATCCTGTTTTCAGAAAACCTCAGGAACTAACATTAAGTGGTAATATTCTGGACCCAAGGGGCCAGCCCGGTGGCATAGCGGTTAAGTGTGCGCGTTCTGCTTTGGCGGCCTGGGGTTCTCAGGTTCGGATCCCAGGCGCGGACCTACACACTGCTCATCAAGCCATGCTGTGGCGGCGTCCCACATATAAAGTAGAGGAAGAGGGGCACGGATGTTAGCTCAGGGCCAATCCTCCTCAG